TTCTCGAAGTCGGTTGCGGCAACGGCGGCGGAGCTTCATACATCGTCAGAACGCGCCGTCCGGCTTCGTATGTCGGAATCGATCTACTCCCCGGACACATTGAAATGTGTCTCCAATCGCACGATCAGCCCGGTCTGAGTTTTCAGATCGGCGATGCGGAAAAACTGCCGTTTGAAGATGAAAGTTTCGACGGCGTGATAAATGTCGAATCGTCCCACAGTTACAATTCGATGGAAAGTTTTTTAAGCGAGGTTACGCGAGTCTTAAAACCTCAGGGACATTTCTGGTTTGCCGATCTGCGACCGACAACCGATGAATGGGGCGAAAACAGAAATTTAGCGGCTCTGGAACGTCAAATCGCCGATTCGGGATTGAAGATAGTTAAACGGACAAACATCACGGACAATGTTTTGACGGCAATGGACGCGCTCGAAGACGCCAAGCAAATGTTTATGGATATGAACGAAGTTTCCGGTGCAAATCGCCGTCATTTTGAAGAAATTATGCTTTGCCGTAATTCGCACAATTATAAAAAACTAAAAAACCGCGAATGGGAATATGTGCATTTCGTTTTGTCCAAATGAAGTTCCGAAATCGAATGCCACGTTTCCGCTTGTTTCGTAAATTGCGCTAAAGCAGATGTGCGGCGATTTCGGCGGAGATTCTTTGTCCTTCGGTATTAACGAAAAAATGGTCGCCTGCCAGAAAATGAGCGGTAAATTTGTCGTTCGTTAAAGCTTCCCAAGCACAAAGATTTTCGCGGCTGACCAAATGATCCGACAAACCGCCGAAAGCCGTGATCGGATATTCCAAAAGTTCGTCCGGCTCGAAGCGGTAAGTTTCCACCATTTGGAAATCAGCCCTCAAAGCAGGCAGAATAAATTCCATCAATTCCTTGTTTTCAAACAATTGGTCGGGCGTTCCGCCCATTCTTTTAAGTGACTCGATAAAATCGTCGTCGGGAAGATGATAAGTTTTCTCGCGAATATCCGGCGTTTGCGGGGCAGCTCTTCCCGACACAAAAAGATGAACGGGCGAAAAACCGGCGTTTTTCTTCAAATAACGCGCCGTCTCAAACGCGATGACCGCGCCCAGACTGTGACCGAAAAGGGCAAAAGGTTTATCCGCCAGTTTGACTAT